ACCACCGACAGAGCTGAGGCAACCTACAGTGTTGGAAAAACTTTTTAATAGCTGCTCCTCAGACAAAAAACTACTATCTGGAATGTATAAAGAAATTTAGGGCAAGAGATTTAGCTCAGTGGCACAGCATCTATCTTGCAAGCACAAGTTTGATCCCGGTACCAAAAAATAAGGAACTTTAAAAAAAATCAAACTCGGGGGTGAAGGGAGGGCAGAGGTAAGGGGAAAAAATGAGAATCAAGACTTGTCATGTAGAGGTACAAGATCCCAACAATGAATGTAACTGTACTGTATCCCTAAAATGTACCAATAAACTCAATTAAAGCTGAAAAAAAATCAAACTCCTCAAATTTAAAGACACAGTTCAATAATGGGCATCTAAATTGAACTCATATTTCTCAGACAAAGAAGTAAAAGCAGCAAATAAACATATGAAAAAATGTTCAGCATCATTGGTTATTCAAGAGATGCAGATGAAAACAACACTGAGATTCCATCTTACTTTAAAAAGAATGGCTGCTATCAAGAAATCAAACAAAAACAAATGCTGGTGGGGTTGTGCGAAGAAAGGAATCCTTCTCCATTGCTGTTGGGAGTGCAGACTGGTGCAACCACCTTGGAAATCAATATGGAGATGCCTCAAAAAGCTAAAATTAGAGATCCCATTTGACTCAGCTAGTCCTCTGCTGCATATCTTCTCAAAACAAGTAAAAGAATCATATCACAGCAATATATGTACACCCATGTTTATAGTGGCACAGTACATAATAGCTAAAACTTGCAAACACCCCAATTGTCCATCAACTGCTGACTGGATAAAGAAAGTGTGTGTGTGTGTGTGTGTGTGTGTGTGTGTGTGTGTCTGTGTGTGTGTGTGTGTGTTTAATACAATGTAGTACTACTCAGCCATAAAGAATGAGAAACTAGAGATATTTATAGCTAAATGGATGCACATTGAGACATTACCCTTAAGTGAAATGTATAGGACACACATGTGTAACTACTGAACAGTTTCTCTGGTGTGAGAAGCTGAAAGTGTAAATGAGGACCAAATTATATTAATAGATAATGTGTAATAGAGAAAAGAGGTCCAAAGGGAAAGGGGAAAGGTACTCAAAAGGGTTGGGGAAAGGAAGGAAGGGTAAGGAATAAATACAAGAAAAGGAAAAAATATCATTGGCTAAATCTCTCTGGTAGCCAGGTGCAATACCAGGGGATCAAGTTTGTATACACTTTCTCTCTTAGGAAGAACTCTGAACCCACTCATGGAGTGTTGCTTAAAACACACAAGACCCATTGTTAAATCCCCATGGGCTAGCATGACATTCAAACTCTTTGACTTACCCTTCCAACCCAATTCTACCTATTCTATTTACTTCCCATAAACAGAATTCTGTTCCTTTTTGCTTCCCATACATTGTAGGTGCTATTACTTTTCTATAAAATTCTCTCTCTCTTACCTTTATTTAACTAATTTCTAATCATATGAAGTTCTCAACTTATAAATCGGCTCTACCAAGGTGTTATTGTCTAATTCCCAAGACTGAGATAAGTACATATCCTAATGTGTCTCCAAATGAATCTAAATACACTGTAGTTGATGTTTTCATACCATTAAAAAGATTGCTGTCTCCTTCCACAAATCTGAGAATAAGAATTATGGCTTGTGCCTTTTGATTTCCAGAATATTTCTATGTGTATTAACCCAAAGTCAACATCTAGTTTAATAGGGAGATATTAGAGGCTTTCTATTACAATCTAGAAGTGGCGTATCCACTAACTCCAGTTCCTAGTATTAGGCTGAAAATAGTGACAAAATTGAACAAGAATTATAGATTTAATACTTAGAAATAAAACTAGTCTTCTTCAGATAAGATTATACATCCAAAATTTCAGTAAATGGAAAAGCTACTAAAAGAATAAAAAATTTAGCAAACCAGAAGGTTATTACATCAATAACATAAATCAATGCCTTCATATATATGAACAAGACTAGTTAGAAAATAAAATGGAAGAGAACGTGGCGACTGAACAAATCAACCGAACAAAAGAATCCCATGCCAAGGCATAAGCTTAGCAAGAAATGTCTCAACTTTAAAAAAAAAAAGTGAAGCAGCTGTGTTTTTAACAGAAATAGTTATTACCATCCAGCTGTTACTCTTCTCTGGGGTAGTTTATAAGTCATATGCTAGTCCAAGAAAAGTATTATCAGATTTTTGTTTTGCTTTAGAACTAACCAGATTAATTATAAAGTTAATTTTCAAAAATAAATAATCAGGAATAGTTAAGAAAACTTGAAAAGAGAGTGAGGTATAGGGGTTAGATACTATTACATGATATTAACACATAAAGTCTTTATATTTAAAATAGAGTGCTTTGGACACATAGATAAAAGACCAGTGAAACTGAAGAGAAATTCGGGAATAAATCCTATAGTATGTTGGAATTTTGTTTATGACAACATTCATACCAGAAATAAATAGGGGAAAATGCACTTTTTAATCAGTGATGCTAGAGCTATTGAATAAGTACACAGAAATTTTAAATTGAGTCTATTCTTCATGTATCATACATGTACAGGATGAAGATCATGATATATTCCAAGTGAATATCAAATTTAAGTGTAAAAAATAAAACTATTCAGATAGTAGAAGTACACATGGGTGACTTCCTCTATCATCTAGGATATAGGAAAACATAACAACATAAACACACACACACACATAAAGCATAAAATGCCCATGTAACAAGAAAAAGAGTGATATATTTTACTATACATATATGGCCAGAACTTCTGAAATCAAAGTACATAAATACTTGACAAATTGTAGTAAATCTGCAATCTATATCATAAAAAATATACCCTTAAACTAACATGAGTCAAGATCTCTTCCAGCAATCATGTCACCCAAACAATACATTGTGAGTCAAATAAAGCGAAGTAGAGATCCTATATATATCAAAGAGTTAGCAGAGCCCTGGAAACTGCCCAGGTCAGAAACTTTGAGGATCTTCATCAGAGTTTTTAATTTTATCATTTTGGTACTTTAGGAACATTCCTTGTTTTTGGAAAACAATAACACAGTTCAGGGTCATTTATATCAGTAAATGGTGTGGACCTGATGCTATTCACCAATGGTCCATCAAGATTCTCTGCCTTTTAGTAGATCCTTGGGATTTTGATGTTGGGTCATCAGGATATAAGACTGTCCTGGCCCACACAGACATCATATTACATGGAAGGAGACATAATAAATAATAAACAACTTAGTCACTTTTCTTATCACTGGAACACAATATCCAACACCTGCAGGATGAGGTTTATTTTTTCTAATATTTTAGTCCAGGGTCAGCCGACTCCAAAAAAGAAAACAGTAGGCAGAGGGATGTGGCAGAGGAGAGCAGATCCTAGCATAGCAGACAGGAAGCAAAGTTAAGGGAGGTACAGAGGAGGAAGATAAACCTTTCCAGGCCACACCTCAGTGACTGCTTCTTACCAAGATGCCCATCCTAACAGCAATTCAGCAATACACCTACATAATTCAAACACCTTCTAAAAGCCCCATCTATGAGCTCATGAGACCCTTGTGGGACATCTATATGTAAACCATAATAATAAATAAATAATTAACCTAACCAAAGAGGTAAAAGGCCTCTACAACAAAAACTGTAGAACTCTGGAAAAGGAGATCAAAGAAAACACCAGAAAGTGCAAAAATATCCCCTGTTCTTGAGCAGTCAAGGCTAATACTTTCAAAATGGCCATACTTCCAAAACTTATGTACAGATTTAATGCAATCTAAATAAAAATGCCAACAACATTTCTCACAGAGCTAGAGAAAGCATTCCTAAAATTCATATGGAACCAGGAGAGACCCAGAAAAGCAAAAGCAATCTGGGTAATAAAAACAAGGCAAGACGCAACATAATCTCAGATTTTGAGTTATGTTATAAAGCCACAGTGATAAAAATCATACGGTACTGGCACAAAAATAGACCTATGGATCAGTGGAGCAGAACAGAAGATGCAGGAACAACACAGGCACACTCAGCTATCTAATCTTGGGGAAAAGAGCCAAAATGTGTACTAGAGGAAAGATAGCCTCTTTAACAAATGGCAATGAGAAAATTAGATATCCATATGTCAAAGACCGAGTATAGACCCACATATCTCACCATGTACTAAGCTGAAATCAAAATAGATTAAAGATATAAATATTAAAACTGAAACACACAATCTGCTGAAAGGTAAAGTAGGTAAAGCTGTTGAAGACATGGATTCAGACAAAGACTTTTTGAATAGAACACCAGTGGCACAAGAAATAATACCAAGAGTAAACAAATGGGATCACATCAAAAATGAGCATAGGAAGAAATCAACAGAGTAAGGAAACAACCTACAGGGTGGGGAAAAGCTTTTACCAGCCATTCCTTGGACAGGGAATTAATATCAGTAATATATAAAAAAAAACTCAAAAAATTAAACTCTCCCACAAATACAAGACCCAATCAAAAAATAAGAAACTGAAATGAACATAAACTTCTGAGAAGTATAAATGGCCAATGAATCCATGAAAAAATGTTCAACATCGCTGGCCAGTAGAGAAATGCAAATTAAAAGTGTTGAGAGTTTATCTTCCTCCAGAAAAAATGTTATCAAGAAATCAAATAATTATTGGGAAGGATGTGAGGATAAAGAAACCCTTTTATACTGTTTGTGGGATTGTAAACTAGTACAACCACTGTGAGTATAGATATTCCTCAAAAAACTAAAAATAGAAATTCCATATCATCCAACTATTCTCCTTTTAGGTACTTTCCTGGTGCCAAAGTTTGTGTTGATGCATGATTCCTTCACTGGGGATGCAGTGACCAGTGACTCCATGAATGGAAGTCCTTTCAGAATGGGAGTGTATTTAAGGTCCCCACGTGCGCACTCATGTTCTCCCATCTTCCCCTCTCCCTACTGTACTCCTTGTTTCTGCTCTTGTCTCTCCAAGATTTCCCATCATGCAAATGTCTACTGCAGCTCAGTACCCACTGGAGACCAATCCCTGTCCTACATGCATGACCTCCCCAGAGGGAAGCTCAGACGCTGGTCCATGGAACAGAGGGCAGGGGGCCACACTTGCCAGCCTGAGGTGAGTAGTACAAGAGCTTCTGGGTAGTCTACATTGTGGATGAACACCATGTAGTCTTGACCACATTTCTGGTGTGGAGCAGATAAGACAGTCTGAAGATGGATTGGCACACTCTAGGCAGCATTCCAGGAAGCTTCCCCAAGGCGTTCATAATCAAGCCCTACAGATCACAACTGAGCTCTTCAGTATCTTATGCACATACCTAAGCTCAAAAGGGCCATAGTTTCCCTGATTAACTCAGTCATGATCTTGTGTTCTTCTTTGGTCTTCAAGGAATAAACCAGTGAGTCTCTATGGTTTATTATTCTAAATTCTCACACAGTCAAAATGATACTTTGGGAAGACAGATGGGGGACAGTAAAGAACTTATGTGTATTCTGAAAAGATTTGCATCCTCTCTTCTCCTGAAGAACAGATCTGAGGCAAGGTAAATTAAGTCACACCCAGACTGAATGCTCACTCTCAGGTGCCACAACCTGTGCTGTTCCAGTCAGGCCTGCAGTGGATGCTCTGATGCCAGGACCAGTGCTGTCCATCCTTGCTTGGGCCTTCACCTGTCTCATGTTAGAGCTTTTTCACTCTTTCTGTTGTCGTCCTAGGACATTGCTCCAAAGGCAAGTGAAATGACAAGAGAAGACGCTTTCCTTCTCACCCTGGTCAAAAGAGAACTCAAGCCACACCCTTTGAGTTCCAGCTTGTTGGACCAGCTTCAGGAAGAGCTGAAGGCCATGGACCCTCTCTCTTCAGGATTTCTCCTCCAACCTCATCTGAGCTGCCTCCTCCTGAGGCAGGAGATCCCTCTGCAGGGGCCCACAGTCCAACTCCTTTGCCAGAGGTTCTCTAGAAGTGGCTCTCCCAAAATGGTGTGCCATCTTGCTCTGCTCAACAGGGCTCTCTTAAGGTCCCTTCCTTGTGCCACCAGGATCATAGTTAAGGGATTGAGTGTGTTTGAAGTGAGGAAGGGAATTTTGAGGTAGATTTATGGTCGTGTGCCCTTTATTATAATATTTTTTTATTTAAACAGTCACTGTATTTTCCATTATCCCTATATATGAGAGGTGTGAGAGGAAAGAGAGAAGGCAGAGGCTCGGCTCGTAACAAGCAACACAAGACAGGGCCTCAAGACAACAAAAGTTTGTGTTATTGTTTTGTTTTTAATTTATGCTACATTCCATGAAGTCAGGCACAGGCCTCTCAGGCACTGATGTTACCTTACCTGCAGCCCAGGCTGAGACAGGCTTCCAGAGTGTTTTTAGATGGGGGCAGGTGCAGAAGGGGAGAGCTAGAAAGGGTGTCATAGCAGCCCAAAGTGGAACTGGTCGTCTGACATCTCAGGGCCAGGTGGGCACACCTTCACCACGCATGCGCAATCAGGAAGTACAACTTACCTTTTGTCCAGAGGGGTGATACGAATACTGATAAATAATTAGCAAAAACTAATAATAATTATAAAACTGTATTTTAAAATCACTTTTTTCAACTCTTGATGGTAAAAATTTCCCAAGTAAATTTTATCTCAGCAGCCTACTTTCCATCAGTGTGAATTAAATGAGGATGTTCTATTTTATGCTTCATTTTCAGGTGAATTATAGAAAACTACTCTGGTTTTTACACTGCGCATCTTCTGATGATTTGCAGCAAAGCAGAGGAGTTGCAGACAGCAACAGGAGGGAAGCTCGGGGTCTGAGCGATCCTAGCCAAAGGTACTACTGCTTTTTCTGTGGACTTATTGTTCCAGATGTCCAAGCACACAGGCAGTTGTAATAAAGTGCCACAGCCCAGCTGGCTCCAAAGGTTATACATTTATTTCTCAAAGGGTACAGATTGAAAATCCAAGGTGAAAGCCCTGCTTGACAAGGTGGGCAAAAGCTATCTCCTGGGTTGCACATGCTGACTACAGGATCCTAAATGGTGGAGCTGCCAGGGTTCTGAGGGCATTGCGCTAATGTCTCGGTGCAGAGAGAATGGCTTTGTTCTCCACCATCCAGCTTATACTGATGGGGTCTAGGTCCCCCAGCAAGTTATTTGCAGCAGGGGCATTTGCTTCTTAACAGCTAGCGTGTGGGATTTTATAAAGTTGTGTGAAAATGAAAAACCTCCTTATGAACGAAGAATCAATTGTGTGTGAGTATAGAGCTCACCCACACAGTGTGAGCCCAGAATGGGCCCAGTCAGTGAATTCCTGGGTTACAGCATAAGCAAAAGTTCTGACATACAGAAACCAACAATCCCTTCGCATGCTAGGGAGGGGAAGACATCACTAAAAATAAAAATAGGATTTGAGAAATACAATTAGAGATAAAGCAAAGTAACTCTTCTCCACATTCCCCAGGAAAGTGACACAGCACTGTGGTGAGGAGCATAGATTCTACTGCTGGGCAGTGGCCTGCTGCTGTCTCTGCCGTGAGCAGCTGTGTGACCTAGTGGTCACTTAGCCCCTCGCCTATCTCCCACCACAATCGACAGTGCTGCATCCCCAGGCTTTACCTACAGGGCTGTAGTGCCACTGAAAGGGACTTGATCCAGAAGGGCGGAGGTGGAGATATGTCACAGGGCTCCCTTGTCCCTCAGGGGAAGTGGCATCAAGCTGAGAGTGTAGAGTGGGAAAAGCTTCACAGAGGAGCCACTGTTGGAGATGCAGCTGGAGGGACAAACAGATTTAAATGTTAAAGGAGTGAACATCTGAAGCCAGTTTCATGAAATAAAGGAAGAAAAGGGCTAAAGGTGTAGGGGAAGTGGGAAGGGTAGGGGAAAGGAAATAAGGGAAAAGAAAAATATGAGAAAATGAAAAAATGGAAACAGTCTTTGTAAACAGGGAAGGGTAGAGAGGCAAGGGAGGGCAGGGGTGTGGGGAAAAAAGAGAACCAAGACCTGTCATGTAAAGGTACAAGATCCCAATGATGAATATAACTGTAATGTCTACCTAAAATGTACCAATAAACTCGATGAGAGAAAAAAAGGACTGTAACAGTTTATCATCCCATTGCTTTTCATCTATTAGTTAAAATACTTCTCCTCAGTTAGATGAACTGTCTTACTACAGATATTCCTAGTTTAATAGTCTATGTTTAAAGGCTGTTCTGACTTAAGACCAAGATGCTCTGTTCAGACTTAAGGATGCACTGCTTGGATGTGCAACTCACCACCCAGACTTCCAGTCATCTTGTTTGTACACAGCTCTGTACACCTTGTGGTGGAGGTTCAGTTTTTTTTTTAATACAGTACACCTTATTTATATAGTACTGTACTTTTTACTCATTGTATTGGACAGTATAGCACTGTAATTTTTTATGTTTTGTTGTACATTTAAGTGCTGCATGTAAGAGTTATGCAATTAAAAGCAAAGTTGTCAAGCTGGAGTTTCCTTTGGCCACTTCTTTGTCTGAATGTTATAATGTACATCCTCTATGCGATTCCTTATTTAGTGACTAACCATTTACCAATCTAGACCCAGGAACCTGTCTCAGTCAGTGAGGGAGGAATGTCTGGAACTGCATCCATTTACATGCCACACTGTGCATAAATGATCACTCCCAACACTTTCCTGAGCTTTTCCACAGCAGAGCCAAAGGGATGCAGGGCGTGAGCCTGGTTCCAGGTTTGCTGTGGTCCAGACCTCCCGGTCACAGGGGCTGGTGGGAGCTGCACTGCTTTGCTATAACAATGAATAATTTGGAAATTTGGCTTACTATTCATAATTATCTGGGTTTCAGAAAAAAAGCAAAATTAAATAAGTAAAGTGAACTAGTTTTCTTTTATTTATTTCCTCTTTCTTGGAAGGAAGCGCTAAAAATGCGGATTAAGAGTTGTAGTCCCCCTGTGGGTTCCTCCTGCAAAGAGACTGCTGCTCACTCTGCAGAGCAGACTTAAGTTGCTCTGTGAAAAGCCTGTGACCAGGCTTCCAAGGTTAGGGCTGAGAAGCTAAATTCCGGGTTGCACAATGGAGAACAGGTTCAGACATGTGATATGAATATATTCAGCTGTCTTGCGTGGTCTGTCTTTTCATGGCCTGTCCCATGCCCCCCCCCCAGCACCCTGCCTCAGCCATCAGACAATGACCAGAGCCTACTGGAGATCTTAAAGATGGTGCTACAGACAGCCAGCAGACACCTCAACATAGAGAACCTCAACCTGAACTTTCGGAGAGAAGATCGTTCATTTTCTGGCTGTCTTCCCCCACCCAAGGTAACAAAAATTAATCTTCAGATTCCTCAGCTTCCAAAGGTTCCTTCAGAGCACTGGGTCTGCACCAATAAAACACAGTTATGGACTGTATTCTGCTGTAGATTCCCTCAGGCAATTGTTTGGTGTCTGTGCTTGCGGAGAAAAATGCAATGGAAAGAGAATTATAAAATGTGCAGAACTGGCCCAGGAACCACATTGGGCTGTTTTGTGTTAACAATAGAAAATATGGTAATATTCCAATAATATTTCCCAGTGAAAAACAAGTATTCTTGCAGGACCAAACTCATTTTTCACATCCTCCCTCAGTTTCCAGTGAGACCTGCTTGTGGTGTCTCATTCCCAGGATGCCATACTTTAGGGACAGACAGTGGTTAGCATACGACTTTGAAAAATTAATTAGCTGTGCAGATGTGTTCTTTGGGAGAGGACCCAGGATCACATTAATGCATGGATCTTTTGTCACCAAGTCTACTGTGGATACAGATGAAATGATAAAGGTCACTATTGCTATAACTAAAGTAAGTATACCTCTTCTTCACCTCTTAACTGGATTCTTACTCTGTGCCAAGCACTGTGCTCCTTTACTTACATGGATTCCTGAAAAGGTTAAGCCTTTACAAATGCTAAAAAAATGTGTGGTATTCTTATACCATTTCATGAATGAAATAAAATGGAGTCTTGGAAAGGCCATGGGTAACAGTGGCAGAGCCAGAAGAGCTCTGGCTTCCATCCTGGAGAGTTCTAGATGCAGAGGACCTGAAGTGGGACTACACTGGGTGGGAGATGCATGGGAGCTTCCATTGAGCCCAATATACAAGAGTTTGAATTAAAGATGATTGGAAAGACTGGCAATTACAGGGGGAAAGGGGTCCTGTCAAAAAGAATGGAATATACCTTCCATTGAGGTACAAAGAGATTAGAATTAAGAGAGTCAGGGAATTTTACTATGGAAGCAAGGATACTATATGCTGCAAGTGGGCTTTTATTCTAGGACAAAAGCTGCTTTTCCATAGTGTGTCGTGCAATGTAAAGTTTGTATTAGTATGTGTACAGTATGACCTACACCTGCAAGCATGTTTCACTGGAGAGAGAGACTCGGTGGCCTTTAGTATGCTTACAAGCAGAACTATACAAATAGACTAAAGAGTAGCAATTCTGTTAGATCAAAAGACACGTAACACCACTGGTAAAGCCTGCATGCTCCCAAATGACACTCAGGGGATGGAACACAGAAAACTTGAACATTGAAACATATTTACTTAATTTCTTCGAGTCTCAGATTTTCATATGGGAAAAATAGCTACCTCTGGTGTCAATTGGGAGGATTAAATGGGATAAATATGAGAAAGTACTTAGCATACTACCTGATGTACAAGGCCCTAAATAAGTATTAGTTTCCTACTTGGTTTGACTTCAGAACAGCTGAAGGAAGTAGGATCTTTCCCATGGTCAAACGAGGCCCCATGGAGCCCTGGCTGCCAGAGAGACCTTGATCATCCCCACGGCTGGCCCGGAAAGCTTAACTTTGTGGTTTAGATGCAAGGAAATGAGGCTCATTTTCCTTGAAGCTTCTCGGCCTTTTGTGAGCCATCTGGCATCTCTTGAGACATCTGGAACTCACTCAAAGTGTGTTGCAGTTGGGAGAGGCATGTGAAATACAATTTTGCTTCCCCAGAATGTGAAGCAAATTGAGGCCCAGGGGACACTGGATATAGGAAGCCGCAGCAGCAGTCACGCCCAGCTCCCTTGCTCCTGGACACTGCATTCCAGAGAAGAACGGAAAGGCCAAGTCTGCACCAAAGTGTTTTTCTTTTTGCTCAGTAATTCTTATACTCCTTGGAGTACAGAAGAGATCATCTGCGACCTTCGTGTGTATTCAACAGAAGCTATACTTTCTCTTTTCCCAGGAAAAATAAAAAATTAATAGGTACATCCACACAGTTGCCATTTAAAGCATTGAGGAGCTGTAGCTTCCAAGATAAATAAACATTGTTCTCAAGGATAATGTACGGCTCTGATCCCTCAAACCAATGGAATGTTGACCATTCACAAAAACTAACATAACAATAGGTTAAGTATTGGTTACCTTCATTGTGTGGATGACCTCATCCTGTTCCTCCTGCTGACCTTCAGTGTGATGGTGACTTTTGGCAGAGCTGCTGAAGCAGTGTGGATTCACATATATCAATTTATTAACAGTCATGCCCATTACCCCAGGCAGGTGTAGACTCCATCTGTCTGGAGAACCTGAGGAGTTCTCAAGGGAATGGCTCTGTTCAACACTCTTATACGTAAGTCATAGTCCTGAGCTCTGCAACCAATCCCCACTTGGCCTGTGTGGTCTCTCCCACACTGCTACCTGACCCCCATCTCTCCCGGAGTGAGCTTGTTGGCACACAGGCTTCTCACTTCTTGTTACTCTGCCATGTGGCCGTGCAGCTGTCTCACTGTTATCAGGAAGTGTTCCTGTTGCCAGGTCGACAGGGCTGGTAAATACAATGTTCACTCTTGCAGCAAGGCTCCAGCCAGGACACCAATGACCTAACCTGATGGTCAGGTCCCCTTCTGCACTCTGTCAGGGTCCTTTTTCATGTTTAACTGCCCTGTATCTGTATGCTGTGCCCTATGACAGTCAAAGGATTTCTGCTAATCTTGAATCATTCCCTTCTTTCAAGGCCATAGCCATATTTCGGATCAATATGGCACATTTATTCTTTCATTTGACACAAAAATAATTCCGTATGCTCTAAGCACAATGTGATGGCACTGAGGACAACAACCTTTACTATTGCAGCTCCATTCTCCAGAACTTAGGGAAGGGCACCACATTCTCACAGGTCTGTGATAAATGCAGTAACTCTAAATGCAGAAAAAGACACCAATGCAACCTAGCCTGAAAGCTCTCCAGAGGAAAAGGTATAAACACAGAACATTAGAGGACAGGCAAGTGTGGCAGATGGTGGGAGTAAGGGAGATGGCCAAGAGAGAACACAGGAAAGATGTTTTAGGTAAAAGGAGCAATGTAAAATCATGTTGGCTTGGGGAAAGTTTCAACTAATTCAGGAAACTGCTGTTAAATCCCCACTCAGACTGTCTTTAGAACAGAAAACAGAAGCCCGTGTGTGAAGGATCTTCTTAAGGGAGGTGAGTTTTGTCCTGAAAGTAGACAGGGCTTGAAGACACAAAAGAACAAGTAAATGATATCAAATCTGAAATTTTAAAGACCATCTCAGTGGAATTTGGCAAATTGGGTTGTAAGTAGGAAGACCTAGAGAGAGAAATCTTTTCTGAAGTTTGTTACAATAATTCAGCCAAAGATTATGAAGGTTTAAACCAATGGACTAACTGAGGGGTGGAGATATCAAGGGGGTAGAAAAGCAAGTCATGGTAACTAGTTGAAAGTGGGACCTGAATGAGAAAGAATTAGAATGACTTCCAAATTTCTGGCACTGGCAACTGTTGGATGTTGGCAACTTTCTCTGAAATAGGAAAGGCAGATGAGTTCACTTTTGAACACATTGATCTAGGTAAAGAGATTGAAGCTGAATGGTGATATAAAACTCTTTCTCGTGGAGTGGAAGTCATAAGATTACTCAAGGATATGAGGGAAAGTGAGAAAGAAAGAAGCACAAGGAAGGCATGTACTGTTAAAGAGCAGGTACAAAGAGAAGGCAGTAAAAGAGGCTAAAATAATCAACAGAGACTGGAGTGGTCAAGAAAACCAAAAGGGAAGAGCTGGAGGAGTAAACAGTAACCTCTTAATAGCAATGTTTAAAAATATGCTATAATTACAAGAATAAGTCACTTTTTATTTAGGGTGACCAGCAACTGCCCCTTCAGTTTTTGCTGACCTTCAGCACACCCTCCACTCTTCAGTGCCTTCAACACAGTCATCCACTCTCTCATCATCCGTGTGTACAAATGTTAATCTCTTACTTTTCAAGACTCTGCTAGGCAATGGTGTTAAGAAAACAAATAGAACACAGGTGCTGCTCTCAGCAGCCTCTGTCTTGGAGGGAAGCTCAGCCATAACAGGAGAAGGATGTGTAGTAACAGCAGAGTGGAAATTTTAGCAAGCACCCTGTGTTAGTTCACCCATTACTTATACTTTTTCCTGCAATCCCCCTGGCTCCTTATTCTTCTGGTAAACTATCTACTTCTTCATCTTTCAAAACAATCTTTCAATTTTCTCTTTGAAGCTTCCCTGACTTTATTCCTCTTCATCTACTTCCTTGACTTCATTTCTCTACATCAAGCCCAAATTTATTGTCTTTCCTGCCATGAAGATAAACGAAGATAAGCACTTTGTTACTGGTTATTTTCTTGAGGGTTCATTTTTGGTTTTTGTTTGTGTGGTGCTGGAGATGGAACCCAGAGGCTTGTGGATGCCAGACAGGGGCTCTACCACTGACTTGTGCTCCTGGCCCTTGTCACTGTTTTAAAATGTAGATTTTATTATTATTTAGGTATGATAAGACCAACAGATCAGAAGACAATGGCTATCACAAAGGCACTTAGTTTCTCATGGGTCTAAGAGGAGGGCCACATGGCAGCATGCTGGGAAGCACCAGGAGCCATCAGGAGCATAGGGGACAAGGGGAAGGGGTTTCATGGGCAGGCGTGAGCAAGACAGGATTAGGCTGGAGGGTTGGAGCAACCTAAAAGGCTGTGTCTTGCTGCTTGGTACTTTGTCCCGATGTGGTTAGAGAGCAAGAGTCACCTGTGAGAGACCAACAAAAATTGGGTGATACATGGGCTCTGGAAAACTCAGTTTGCATCTGAGAGTCTCACAGTCAGATGAGCGCTTTATTCTTCTGTAGGAATGGGCTAACCCTACTAAGCGCAGCCCCTAGGGGCCACAAGGCCCAAGGACATCATCGTGTCTCTTCATTGTACTAAACTCCCTTTCAAAATACTGATGGTAGCTACTAATAGTTTAGTGAGAACTAAATATTGAGTAGTTGAAACTATTACTATTTCTACTTAATCCATACATTCAATTAGACACTTCCTCCTCCCTCTCCCACACTTCCCTGTTTCTTCCCTCTCTTGTCTGTGTTTTCCCTCTCCCTATTCTACCTTGCACTCTTGTCCATTTCTTCATTTCAGTCTATTAGTCAAAGGTGGGCATGGTGCCGCACCCCTGTAATCCCAGCACTCAGGAGGTCGAGGCAGTAGGACCGCTGTGAGTTCAAGACCAGCTTGAGCTACATAGTGAGTTCCAGGTCAGTCTCACCTATATAGTGAGACCCTGTCTCAAAACAGCAACAACAACAACGACAAATACTATTATTCAAGTGCTTACTAAGAGATGGACTCCATTCTAAGAACTTGTTTTATCACATCATCACAGGATCCTGGGAATTAGAAAGTGCTGGTCTGGCTTAGTAGAACAAATAATTGGATGCAAGAAGGTTAACTCAGGTCTGTTTGAGTTCAGTCTATTTTGTAGCTATTGCTATACACACACAGCATGCATGCTCATGTTTCTGGAAGTAAGGTGTGCTTGAATCTAAACATCATCTAACCTCAAACTTGGGAACTGAACTAGTTTGTCACCTGGACCCAGGACATATTAAACACTTAAGAAACTGCAATAATACTTTATCTGTTTGATAAACAAATATTTATTGAGAATCTGGTTTCTATATCAAGTTCCATAAATTATTTTATTAGCTATGTGACATTAAGGAAATATTATCTAAGTCTTGTTTTCCTCATATATACATTACTGTATAGATAAAAACAGTAACTGTGCTAATACAACTCCTTTGTGTTATAAATCAAAGTGGATGATACAAAATGACTTGTAATTTACCTCTATAATGAAGTATAGATAATTCCTAGTCTTTGACCATCCATCCCATGGCTGACAAAAATGTAATATCAGCATCTGAAAACCCAGTGTCTTCTGAATAACAAAATAACCATTTACTATTGATAAGTAATCAACTGGATATTCTTGTCTCAAATGATATCTCAGTGGTAGAATGTGCTCCTAGAAATTAATTCGTTGTCAAAATCATGTGCAGTCTGATCATTGGAAGGAAATTTGAATAGTAATCTCCTTCTAGTGAAGCTTCAAGACCTTTCTCATTTCTAGGTCAGGGCTATCTGTGGGAAACATGGATTATATCTGACCTTGAGCCTACTGGAAATACTGCTTAACCACCAAGATCTGGGTTACCAGGATGAAATAAAGTAAGTCGACTTTGTTTACTGACTAACCTCAAATTGCATGATGAATTTCTAACTCCCAGTCTGTAGAGGGTGAGGCCATCAGCAGGTAACTTAAATTTAGGTGAAATTGTGAGCATGAAGCCCCTATGATAGAAGTAGTGCATCTACAAGAAGATGAGGAGACACCAGAGTACCAGTATCTTCCATGTAAGGATACAGCAAGAAGGCAGTGACTATCTGTAAGTCAGGAAGAAATCCCTCACCAAGAACAAAAGCTGCTTGGATTTTGGTCCTGGGATTTCCAGTCTAGAGCTCCAAAAGATGAATGTCTTTTGTTAAAGAGTATTCACACCCAGCAAAGGCACTTTGTGAAACTAAGACAATTTATTAGCCCTCAGTTTTATATTAGAATTCCAAACAAAAAGATATGTTTTTAATAGTTTTATGACTGAGCTAAGGAATGTTCATTTATACTAAGAGCAACATATCTTTTTTTTTTTTGGTCATAGAAAGACAAACTAGAAAACATTTCCTTCTATCCATCAAGAACTAGATTTGCCATTCCACTTTGAACAACCAACCCATAGGACAAACACATAAAGCATTGTTTTCAGGGGTTGGATATCAAGCATTATAGAGCAGCAATTATAGAACAGGAAAACCAAAAGCTGTTTCATTTAGAGTTCATCAGAAGAACAGCATATACATTACAAGGTAGACCTACAATGGAGAGTCAGGCACATAAGAATGCAAAAGGGCCATCTGTGCTGTGAAGAGCCAGAGAATCCAAGCAAAAATCAAAGGCCTGAAGCTCACTACAGACTTTCATGCCAGTCTGTATTGGGAAACCAAAGGGTCTGTGTTGGAAGGCTAGAGTCTTTGCTGGATTCCTGGACACAGGTGCCCAAAGCCTGTGGTGAAGACTAAAGCTCCTCCAAAGAAGCATTTGGAAAACAAGTGTGATCATCCCAACTCACTGCACAGGAGGGAGGAATCCAAACAGAGCCCAGCATTCTCCCTGAGATAAAGGGATAGAGTTTGGAGGGCAGGAAGACCAAGCAGTATAGAATGCTTTATAAAAAATCAGAGAGAAGAGAAATCTCCAGAGATGTCTTACTAGATTTCTAAGAAATGCTGTTAAGACTTATATAATTTCTGGCTGTTGCATTTATTTGATAAAACTACTCAAGACCAGGAAGAATAATATCAAAAAGAAAAGATAAAAACCTCTAGGTTTCACATAGCGCTGGTAATAGTTTGTGCTTCCACCATCCAGTGAAGAAAGCTTCCAAACACATGAGGCATTGTATGTGGAAGGCCCTTAGAAGATTAAATTGTCCTAGAAAAACAAAAATCTTAAAAGCCCTAGGAAAACTTAATGATGGTCTGCTTGCAAAAACTTTGGCTACATCCAGCAAGAAATCTCACAAATTTTCAAAGGAATTAAAAAAACTCAACCAACAATTACACTTCACACCTTCTAAAATACATATAAAAATTACTAGGCTTGAAAAAAATGAAGAAAAGCATGGTCAATCATTAGGATAAAAACCAACCAATAAACAGATTAAAAAACAATACAGTTAAGGGCTGGGGATTAAGCTCAGTGGTTCCACTGCCTGCCTTATAAATGTAAGCACAAAGTCCCAAGTTCAACCCCTGGTAGGAAAAAGAAAGAAAGAAACAAACAAATAATACAGATAATCTAATTAGTAATCAAGTACTTTAAAAGAGCAATTATACTTCACTTAAATATTAAGTATACTTCATTTATTTAAGAAAGTACAAAGTGTCATGAACATAATAGAAGATATAGAAGAAATAAAAATATACAAACCAAATTTCTACATAGGAAAAAAATACGATATTGTCTTTCTCAAAGAAAATAATCCTTGAATAATGATGAGGAAAACACTGAATGATTCATATTAGATATATTTGAATAGTGCTCTTCAAAATTGTAAAGGCCATGAAAAATGCGAGAAACTGTATAGCCAAGAAAAATCTAATGTGACAAAGAGTAAATGTAATGGGGTAACCAGGATGGAATCTGGAACTAAAAAAGGATAGTAGGTAAAACCAAAAATATTGGAATAAAATACAGGCTTTAGTTTGTCATAATGTCACAGTATTGGCCCCTACATTTTACTGTACTAATTAAATGTAAGATGGTGACAAAAAGGGAAATTGGGTGCAACTTTTTTGATAAATCTAAACTATTTGGCAAATCTAAAACTTTTAAAAGTAGTTTATCATAAAATTATACCTAAAACAAAATTATTCTTAGTAGAAGTAATAACAGATATAGAATAAAAACAGTGTGAAGACAGAAATAAACTTGAGCCATAATGAAACTCTGCAAAACAATGACACAAAAAATCAGCACAATATCACTAAGTTTTGTGATGACATCAACAGCCAAATGAAAAGAAATTAAAGTCTCAGAAAGGGAAGAGAAAGACAGGAGAATGGAAAATAATAGCAACAATAGCTGAAAGTTTTCTGAATTTGGAGAAAACTATAAAGACATGGACCTAAGAAGCTTGATGAATCTTGGAAAAAAAATGAAATAAACTGTCTGTCCCATTGCTGATAATGAAATTGCTTTAATCAGTGATAAAAAGTCTTAAAAGCACACAGAGAAAGAAAAAAATACTACAAAGCAAAAATAATAATTAAAACAGATTTTCATTGAAACAACATGATGGGTACTAAAACAGAGCAATATCTTTAAAGAATTAAAGAAAGAAAACCATCATTCAGAATTATTCATCTGGAAAAGTCATTCTCCAAACGCAAATGTGAAGCAAGTACTTTTCAAACATACAAGAGATGAGCAAATTCATAGCTTGTAGGTAAACACTATGATGAATATTTTTAGAAATTACTTCAAGCATAAGAAAAATAGTTACTCAAGGACTATACAAAAGAGTGACAAGTACTGAAATAGTAAAAATATGGACAAAAATTGATTTTTTCTCATTTTTAAAAACTATGAGGTAAAAATAACATAAGAACAATAGTGCCTGACATGCCTGTAATACCAGCACTGGGAAAGGCTAAGACAGAAGGACAGAGCACTATACTCTGAGATATACAGTGTGATATGAAAGTCCAATGTTTAACAACAGAGTATGAAGAAAGAGAAAAACTCAACCATTTCAATTGTTACAGTAAATGTAAATAATCTAGATACCCAATTAAAAGCAGATATTTTCATATTTCATTTAAAAAGAAAGAACAAACTAAATGCTGTCTATAATAACTCATTTAACATATAAAGACTTAGAGAAGCTAAAAGTAAAAAGATAGAAAGAGATTCTCCATACTGATTCTAACAAAAGCTGAAGCAATTATGTTTATATCTGGCAAGAGATGTTGTCACAAACTCATTTTATCGGTCGAGTATAACAGTCCTAAATATTTATGCACATAATAATGTAGCTTCAGCCAGGCATGATGGGTTACACCTGCAGTCCCACCACTCTGAGGGGCTGAGGCAAAAGGATTGCAAGTTCAGGCCCAGACAAGGCAATTTGGTAAAATAGCAAGACCCTGTCTCAATATAAATAAAATAAAATAAAATAAAATAGGCTGAAGATGTAGCTCAGTGTGAAGGCCCTGGGTTCAATCACAAAATAGCACAGGAAAAAAAGTCATAGCTTGAAGTTTACATAAAGAAAAATCGGAATTGAAAAGGCAATAGGCATATTCACAATTCCAGTTGGAGAATTAGATACATCCCTGTCAGTAATTGGTGGAGTAAGTGGACAAAATATCAATAATAATGTGGATGACTTGAATTGTGCTATGTATCCTCCACCTGAGTGGCTATTACAGAATAGTCCCTGTAGTAGCAGAGTACAGATTTTGTTTAGTTTTACATGGAAAATTCAAAGGATAAACTATATTCTGAGCCATGGATCAAGTGTCAATAAATGTAAAATGATTGAAATTATACAAAGTACAACAGCTCTCTTCTTGTGTTCAGGTCCCACATCTAAGAGTTCACCTACTCATGAATCAAAAATACTCAAAATAAAAAAATTGCACCTGCACTGGACAAACAGAGACCATTTTTTCATGTCTTTATTTCCTAAACAATACAATGCACCAACTGTATACATAGCATTTACATTGCATTAGGTACTGTATGAAGTCCAGAGATGGGTTGCTGTCTATGGAGGCTGTGTGCAGGTAGCACACAGACACTGCACCTTTGCATCAGAGATTGAGCAGGTGGGGATTTTGCTGCCCTTATAGATCTTGGAATAATGTCCTGCAGATACCAACTGATGACTATACATATTCTGACCACAATGGAATTGAATTAAGTCTTTCTAGAAATTTGAATGTCCCCAAATATTATAAAACTACATGTATTACTAAATAACACATAACAAGACAATCTCAAGGAAAAATGTGAAATATTTTGACATGAAGTAACCTGCACACATGGCATGCAAGGAACCCCTGGCTTTTCTTTGCTATTTGTATTTCATATCAGATCCATGAGTCATCAATTGTTAATCAGTCTGGACCTGCCCTGAGAGTATACCCAGGAACTAGTCCCTTCTCACCATTGTTACTTAGGTATACTCCATCCAAGCCACCATTTTATTTCTCTAAAATAGCCTGAACTCTGCTCTGTCCTGTCCTTAGTCTAACCTTCAATCAGATCGGACTATTCAAACATAAACCGTGCACATCACTATTCTGCTCCCAGCACTGCAGGAGTTCCCACATGCACCTTACTCTGACTTAGGATGGAGGAGCAGAGGCCATACAGAGTTCCACAGGACCCCCGCTCCCCATCATCTTCTGGTTCTATCTAGAGCTTCCTCCGCCAATTCTCTTCAGGTGCACTGTACCCGGTCCCCCAAGCAGGAGACAAACACACACCTTCACACCTATCCCCTTCACTTGGAATGTTCTCTCCCAGTTATCCCCATGTTCACTCCCTCTCCTTTTTCCACACTCTGCTCATGTATCCTCAGTGCTTCCTGCAGTAATGCTACTAT